CGGCAAAGACTGGGGACTGGCAAGGGGGTCTGGAGGACTTGTTAGCTTTTAACACTCCGAGCCTGGGGGAGTTTGAAGGGGTGGGAGGTAAAGCCCTATACAACCTCTGTATTAAGGTAAGGAACATCAGGAGCCTAACAGGAGTGAAGGCACGTCAGTGGCAGGGGGCATGTGGGGCGGAGAGTATGGTGGGTTTTAGATGGAGGGGGCTCTACAAACTCCCAGTACCAAAGAGGTCAGGGGACCTCCAGTGGAGGGTTTTACATGGAGCCCTAGCCACTAACAGCTGGTTGGCACGGGTTGAACTCGGAGTCGGACAGGGGTGTCCTTTCTGTGTCATGAGTGAAACTGTGATTCATGTGTTTTCTGTGTGCGCCAGGTTAATGCCTTTAATGTCTCAGTTGGAATGTCTGTGTGAGAGGTTGGGGGTGGGCTTTACTGTCGGGATGTTTATAATGGGGTACAGGTATTCAAATAAGGAAAAGGAAAAATGTGTGTTGTTGAATTTTCTGTTTGCTCAGTCAAAGTTAGCTATTTGGATAACAAGGAGGAACAGGGTCAAAGGTGGGGGGATAACAGACCCTTTACTATTATTTAATGGGATGGTCTGTGCGCCTTAGGGTGGAATTTGAGTTTTATAAAATGATAAAAAGTGTGGAAATGTTTCAAGAGATATGGTGCGTTGGGGGGGCTGTCTGTATAGCTGGGGGAAAACGTCTGGATATACGGTTGTAGAGTTGGTGTAGTTTGGGTTATTGTGATGTGTGGTGTTGTTTTTGTATCGTGGGGTAGAGGAAAAGATGAGTGCAGTACAGGGGATATTGATAATTTTTATTTTTTATTTTAGGGGGAGGGGAGGGGGGTGAGGTTTTAATGAAATGAGGATGTACTATTAAAGAAAGACAAAAAGTCAGTCTCTCTCTCTCCCCCTCTCCCTCCCTCCAGTTGGTAGAGCATGGCGCTTGCAACGCCAGGGTTGTGGGTTCGTTTCCCACGGGGGGCCAGTATGGATAAGAGCGTCTGCTAAATGACTAAAATGTAAATGTAAGGATGCGGCCGGGGCCCATGTGGCTCTGGACCCTGAAATTAAATCATATTTATTTTTCTCTCTCTGTCCAGGAGGAGGATGCGGCTGGGGCTGGGGTGCTATCGGGTGGGGCCCCTGTGGCTCTGGAAGGCCCTGCTGGTGTTCGTGGCCATCGCCTTCGCAGGACAGCTCCTGGGAGTCATCTACAACAAAAGGTTTAGAGGTCACCTAGCCTCTAGCCTGGTCACCTAGCCTCTAGCCTGGTCACCTAGCCTCTAGCCTGGTCACCTAGCCTCTAGCCTGGTCATCTAGCTCTAGCCTGGTCATCTAGCCTCTAGCCTGGTCACCTAGCCTCTACCTGGTCACCTAGCCTCTAGCCTGGTCACCTAGCCTGGTCACCTAGCCTCTAGCCTGGTCACCTAGCCTGGTCACCTAGCCTCTAGCCTGGTCATATAGCCTCTAGCCTGGTCACCTAGCCTCTAGCCTGGTCATCTAGCCTCTAGCCTGGTCATCTAGCCTGGTCACCTAGCCTCTAGCCTGGTCATCCTAGCCTCTAGCCTGGTCACTAGCCTCTAGCCTTATCACCTAGCCTGGTCACCTAGCCTCTAGCTGGTCACCTAGCCTCTAGCCTGGTCACTTAGCCTCTAGCCTGGTCACCTAGCCTCTAGCCTGGTCACCTAGCCTCTAGCCTGATCACTTAGCCTCTAGCCTGGTCACCTAGCCTCTAGCCTGGTCACCTAGCCTCTAGCCTGATCACCTAGCCTCTAGCCTGGTCATCTAGCCTGGTCACCTAGCCTCTAGCCTGATCACTTAGCCTCTAGCCTGATCACTTAGCCTCTAGCCTGATCACCTAGCCTGGTCACCTAGCCTCTAGCCCGGTCACCTAGCCTCTAGCCCGGTCACCTAGCCTCTAGACTGGTCACCTAGCCTCTAGCCTGGTCACCTAGCCTCTAGCCTGATCACCTAGCTTCTAGACTGGTCACCTAGCCTGGTCACCTAGCCTCTAGCCTGGTCACCTAGCCTCTAGCCTGATCACCTAGCTTCTAGACTGGTCACCTAGCCTGGTCACCTAGCCTCTAGCCTGGTCACCTAGCCCGGTCCCAGATCAGTTTGTGCTGTCTTGCCAGCTCCTATGGCTGCACCCGTCCTGCAGCTTTTGTTGTTGTTCTACTTCATCACCATCATCATCATCATCTTCATCTATTATTAATCTGTATTATGTTTCTATTTCAATCTGCTCGTCAATAGAAAATAGACTAGAAAAGACCAAGATATAAGACACAGCTCTGTCCTAACTGCCTAAAGTGCTGGTCTAGGATCAGCATTCCCTGTTCCAGTCCTGTCCATAACCAGTAGGAAAATAAATACAACTGGCCTTAGAGCAGTGTGTTGTGGTTCGGTCAACTATCACCTACACCTTTAGCCATTTCCAAATGTCACCTTTCTCTCACAGTACTGTAAGAGTCAGTCTACCTGTAGTTTGAGTCATGTACTATTGACCTCCAGAACCGATGCATTATTCTCTGTTTCTGACCCATATGTTTTTAACAGATTACTTATTTGACACATTGCTATCATCAGCAAAACAATGACAAAGAAAAATATATTGTAGAATTGTAGTTCTCCCCATGTGTATCTAGGGTCCTGGTTCATTAATCACTGTGTGTGTTTACCCATGCTTTCAATACCTTATGTGGGTGCCAGAGGAGGCTGGTGGGAGGAGCTATAGGAGGACGGGCTCATTGTAATGGCTGGGATGGAATAAATGGAACGGTATCAAACACATGGAAACCACATGTTTGCCTCCGGTCCATGAATTCCATTCCAGCCATTACAATGAGCCCGAGTGGTGGGTGCATAGACAGACAACAGGACAGAAGAGAGCAGGACTGGTTTGACTGGATCTCTAGGCTGGCATGCTCTTGATAAGGCTTAGTTATATTGCCTGGGGCTGCATAGATTGACTGTGATTTGATTTATATTATTTCAGTGTCATACACCTTTAGGTTCACAGCCCATATGGGCATACAAGACACTCTTCAACAAATACTTGTGTAGAAAACAACATTACAAAACAGCTTATTAGGATACAAGCTTTAGCTACAGGGCCCTACATTGTGTATTGCTGCTTTGTCAATACAGAACCATTTTTTTGTCATGCCATTAAATTATTTCTGAAATTGAGAAGTTGGGACACACCCTAAAGCTTTAGCTATAGTACCCAGGGGCCGTGGGGCCAGATACTTGGACACTCCCTTCTTAATGTAGGCTGCATACTGCCAACTAACTCAGCCACACACTACTCCAGCGAATAGACACACTTTAATGGAATTTGTTGTTTTGTACACTAGAGAGACAGACATGTTGTTAGTCTTGTAGTTTTTTTTCTTGTTGCTGCTTTTCTCTCTCTCGCTCTGTCCCATTTCTTTCATACTGTCTTTCTCTCTCTCTTCCTCACTTTCACTTTCGATCTCTTTCATTCTTCTCTCTTTCTCTCCACATCTGCCAGTTTTACCTAGGGGTTTTAGCTTCAGCCTTTTTCCTTTTGTGGGGAACTAGTGTCCCTGCTCTCTTTCAGTGGTCCAACTGTTGTTTGGATAAAAGTGTCTGCTAAATTATTACAATCTAACCTGTCTTATTGATATTCAAATGACCGTCACCCTCTGTCTCTGTCCCTCTGTCTCTGTCTCTCTCTCTCTGTCTCTCTCTCTCTGTCCTTCTCCCTTCTCCCACTCTCTCTGTCCCTCTCCCAATAGCCTCCAGCAGGACAGGTTGCGGTCGCTGTTCTCGTCCGATGGCCAGGGCCTGTCTCTGGGCTCCTGTCGGCCCCACAGCCACGTCATGTTCCTGAAGACCCACAAGACAGCCAGCAGCACCGTCCTCAACATTCTCTACCGATACGGAGAGGTACAGACTCCATCTCCACATTCAGAGAGATATTTTCTTGGTTCAAAAGAGCACAGAGCTGTGCAAAAATACTGTAAACCTCATAATAATCTGGCAATTGGATTCTTCTTCTTCTTCTAGGAGAAGGACCTACGCTTCGCCCTGCCTCTGGGGTATCAGTTCGGCTACCCCCTCCCCTTCAACGCCCACAGGGTCAAAGGTTACAGAGGGCCCCGTGTGGCAGAGTTCAGCATCATGGGAAACCACATGCGCTTCAACAAACCAGAGGTACGTTACTTCAGGGGCGTATTCATTGCGTCAATTCTGTTGCAAAACGTGTCTTAAATGGAACAAAACAGGGAGGGACCTACCTGAATTTGTCCAACAGAAACTCTTGTTTTGCTCTGTTTACTTCCGTTTGTTCTTAAACGATTTCCGCAATGAATTCGCCCAAGATGTTCAAATTTTAATGTCTTAAAAACTATAAAAGTATAACATTTTCCAATTTTAATATATTGAGGGTTTTAGTCTCAGATTATCAATGTTATTGTATTTTCCCCCATGTATTCATGTGTATGTTTAGAAATGTATTTTTTAATTCTAGAATTACATGTTGGCATTTTAATTCTTGAGGAAATGAACAAAAGCAAAATCAAATGTTTTAGGACTGTTGTGTGTTAGCAAACATTATAATTTGCATGGAGCAGATGATATATTTTTTAGGTCTGTCAGCTCCCTAATGTTTTGTTATCTACTCATGTCACTGTTGGAAAAGAAAGGACTGAATGTTTTAGTTGTAGGTTAACATTTCAACAGGAGTTAGCTTAGTATCATAACTGAAGAAGGAGTGATACGGTGTGTGTACTGTGTGTGTGTGTTTGTCTCTCTGTGTGTGTACGTTACTTTTGAAAACAGGACAAACCAGAGCTCGTTAAAACAGGTTTGTTAGTTTGAGATGACAGAGCATGCTGTGTGATATGCCATCTCTAGAGCAGCAAAATTCCACTGAAGTGTTATTTTTACATCTTTAAAAATATAAAGAAAACATTTAATTTAGGCCTACTAAAATGTTGGCTATAATGCCACCATGTACCTGATGAAGGCATATCATACTGTAATGAAGACAGGAGTGTGTGACTTATTTATTTTTCATTAGTGAGCACGGCAGCGCCTAACTTCATATGATCCGTTTTATATGTCATGATTTCATTAAAATAACCTCATATCTAACAGTTTGACGATGGCATCCGTCACTCATTTTCTTTCTCCATGACCTTTGACCCCTCTAACCTCTCACCTCTTACCTCTTCTTCTGCGGTCTACTACAGGTAGGGAAGGTGATGCCAGACGACACCTTCTATTTCTCCATCCTTCGTGACCCCGTAGCGCTCGCCGAGTCGTCCTACGCCTACTACAAAGTCGTTGCCCCTGCCTTCAAGAAAGCCAAAGGTACATATCTATCAATCAATCAATATCTTTATTGTCCTAATTGGGAAATCATATTGCACTCAGGGTTAAAAAAACAACATCATACAACAATAATTGCTCACTATATGTCTGCTGCAGAGAGACGAGAAAGCATGAGAAAATGAGCTTTGTTCACTTATGGAAATAAAAGTGCTGAAACATGTTGGCTCACTATTTAAAAAAAGAAGATGGAGAACCAGCTATAGGATGAAAAATACCGGAGTTTTGGCGCAGATACAGCCGACTAGCGCTAGCTAACACTACCTAGCAAAAAAATCGATACTTGGAGTCAGTCAGGGTCAATTCCAGTCAATTCAGAAAGTAGACCAATTTCCAATTCCACATTTTCCTAATTGAAAAGCATTGAAGAGAATTTAAATTGGAATTTCAGTGTACTTCCTGAATTTACTGGAATTGATCCCAACGCTGGTAAACATATCGATATAATATCATCCAAAATATGTAATTGTATGGATCCCCCCCCCCATCACCAATGTATATTGAGTCTGTATGCTATCAAATGAATAGCCTCATTGAGGACATTTAGGTTTTCTAATCTTAATGTAATCTGACAGGCCTGGGAGACTTCGCCGACAACCCCCTGAAGTACTATGACCCCCGTCTCCGTAACAACCACTACGCCCGCAACCTGCTGTCGTTCGACTTCGGCCTGGACCACAACGCCAACTTCTCCACCACGCTGGCGCAACGAGGTGAAGTGGCCATCCGACATGCCTTCAAACTCATACTGGTCTCGGAGTACTTCGACGAATCCATGATCCTGCTCCGCCACGCCCTCTGCTGGCCTCTGGATGCTGTCGTCTCCTTCAGCCTGAACGCCCGGCAGCAAAAGCCCAGCAAAGGCAGCTCCTGGGTGGATAAAGCGGCTGCTGCTCAGCCCCCCGCCATGGCTCTCACAGACAACCAACGCCAGAAGCTCCGGGAGTGGAACGCCCTGGACTGGCACCTCTATCAGGCATTCAACCGCTCCTTCTGGGATGAAGTGGATCGCTTTGGGAGAGCCAGGATGGACCAAGAGGTTGTTCTACTCCAGACCCGCCGGAAGTTGCTGGCTAAGGCTTGCCTGAGGGACGGCGGGAGGCCGGTGGAGGCAAGCCGCATCCGGAACAAGGCCATCAGGCCCTTCCAGAGCGGCTTGGTGAAGATCCTGGGATATGAGCTCCAGCCTGGGCTGGACAACGCTACCCGTCAAGCCTGTCTGAGGATGATCAGGCCGGAGATCCAGTATAAAGACCTGCTGGATGCCAGGCAGTTCCGCAGGGCAGCTCCCCCAGCCTGCCCAGGCTTGGGGAGCTTATGTGAGGAAAGACCCCTCCTCCCAACTCAGGACAGGAGAGCTGGGAGTGGGGGGAGGAGGGAGGACGGGGGAGGAGGAGAGGGACTGGGACGGGAGTCTGTTATCTCGTAATAATAATAATAACAACAACAACCAAACATTGGTGCGAGATAGTGGTGAAAAGGGAGCATAAGATCGTTTTCCAGAATTCATTCTAGGTAGGGTGTGGAAAAGACTAAACCCCGACTGAGCCTGTGTATTCTTACTCAAGCACTTGTTGAGTATTTCTGTTACTCAAGTACTACTGAGTATTACTCAAGTACTCCAAGAGACTCACAGGGATAAAACCCATTCTCCATCCAACCATGCTGCGCCTCCACTTTACTGTACATTCCCATTTTTCTGGCGCGTCTTATCTCCTTTATGAACGGTTATGACTGGTTATGACTCCTTTATGAACAGTTATGACTGGTTGACTCCTTTATGACTGGTTATTACTCCTTTATGAATGGTTATGACTGGTTATGACTCCTTTATGACTAGTTATGACTGGTTATGACTCCCTTATGACTGGTTATGACTCCCTTATGTTCATATTGACTTTGTCAGGGTGCACATTATGGGGGAGGCAGGGGGAGCTAAGCTTCCCTGAATGAGACATGAGCTCCTGTAAAGGCACAAAAGTCAAACTTTGGGAGGGGGTCTCTACATATTGATAATTTGACCTAAACACGCACAGCAAGACGCATCAATCTCACCGCTTCTATGGCTCAGTATGTGTAGGCCATATATCTGATGCTGTCGGGACCAAACATGTATGACTGAGGGGCGGCGTTTCGCTCACTCTGCACCTTTCTCTGGTGAGATACAAGTAACTGCCAAAATAAAGGACACCCCAACATCAAGTGTCTTAAAAGGGCATTGGGCCACCACGAGCCAGAACAGCTTCAATGCGCCTGCCGCCATGGCATAGATTCTACAAGTGTCTGGAACTCTATTGGAGGGATGTGACACCATTCTTCCACGATTTGGTGTTTTGTTGATGGTGGTGGAAAATGCTGTCTCAGGCGCCGCTCCAGAATCTCCCATAAGTGTTCAGTTGGGTTGAGCTCTGGTGACTGAGTCACACACACACTTTAAACCCCCTATGCTCCTTTGAGACCCTCTTTCAAAGTCACTGAGATCTCTTCTTCTAGCCATGGTAGCCAAAATAATTGGCAACTGGGTATTTTTATACAGACCCTAACCAGGTTGTGATGTTCATTGCTTAATTAACTCAGGAACCACACCTGTGTGGAACCACCTGCTTTCAATATACTTTGTATCCCTCATTTACTGAAATGTTTCCTTTATTTTGGCAGTTACCTGTAGATTCATTTTGGGAATTGATAGAAAATTATTAAACACTTTTTTTCTTTCACATTTTAGGGGAAACATAGCTTCCCTTGGCATCCAAGAATACCCCCACTGTAGAAGGCCTTATGACAATCACCTAATGTCATTACACTGATGCTGTCTGTAGCAGATGTCTCTTTCCATTCATTAAATGGCGCATGCCCAGTGCACTGTTTGGATGAACGTGCACAGCCGCAGGTAGCCTACATTTTGAAGTGATATGTTTGACTGGTTGTGTTCATGCCACATTAAAATGTAATACATCTTTACCGTTAAATTAAAATATCTTTACTATTAGGCCAATATATTTTTTCCTCCCGTAGTGGCTCCCCTGAATGTCATGGGTATAATTCGCACTCTGGACTTTATGAACACTGTGGATGTTTTTCAATGGGACTTGAAATGGAATTGCATTGCATTCAGTGGGCCAACTGTTGTTAAAAAAGTTTGCTTCTCTGCTTGAGATATGGAGGTCCAACTTCTCTTGCACAATCAAAATGTCAGCATTTTCTTTATTTTTAGAAAAATAACTAGGCTTTTACCTTTTTTCTTGAATGCTAATGATAAAACAGCAGACAGGCAGCCAGCCATAGCTACTGTACATGCTAGGATAGGGATGGTGTGAACTGCATGTTCCGACTGAGGATCGGAACGGAATCCATCCCTTTGAACGCAGTGTGCCTGGCGTAGAAAATGTAGTCCATATGAAGCAGCGGAGGCTGGTGTGAGGAGGAAAGCTCATAATGGCTGGAATGCAGTGAAAGGAACGGCATCAATCACATGGTTTCCATGTGTTTGATACCGTTCTATTCATTCCATTTCAGCCATTACAATCAGCCTATAATTTAAAGTGACACCAGCCTCCACTGATACGAAGTCAGCATTGGAGAGCAGTGAATCTCACAATAGGCCTTACTGTGATGTCTTCTAGATGAGGGATAGACGGAAAACCTCTTAAAGGCCCAATGCAGCCGTTTTTATATCAATATCAAATATTTCTGGGTAACAATTAAGTCATAGATTTCCATTAAAAAGGGCAAGAATTGTTTTTTAATGAAAAAATAAATTCTCAAGCAAGAATTTTGCTAGGACTGTTTGGGAGTGGTCTGAGTGGGGAGGGGAAAACTGAAAACTAGCTGTTATTGGCAGAGAGGATTTTAAACTATTTTGTTATTGGTCTATTATCCAATTTATCGCATGGTGATGTTACCATGGAAAGCCCAAACTCCCGCCCATGCAAGCCTGCTGATTAGAATTTCCTGTGTAGATGTTTTTTTCAACCAGCAACTATCAAGAAATAACACTGATTAAAAAACAAAACTTTTACAGTGTTGGTTTCATCAGCGGTATAAATTAAATAAAACACAGGAAAACAGAATTTTGACTGCACTGGGCCTTTAATGTTAACACATGATACTTTGATATGGACCGAAGTGTATAGCAGCAATGTACTGTATCTGAACTGAAGCACTGTGGTTGAATGGATAGCAAGTCTGACTATGAACCTTTTTTAGTGTGGCTTTTAAGTCTGGCATTTCATACACTGTGGATACAGTATGTATTGTAAGATACACAGTATGTCCCTGGCTCGATGGCAGTATTCAATGCCAGCTATGAGTCCACCCCCTCACACATAGATATTCACATGTGTAGCCTGAGTATGTCTCATGCATACCTTACATACAAGAACACATATGTACATCATATCTTACATAGTGTATACATTTTCACACACACACACACTGTACTCCGTCATGCTTGACAGCGTAAATGTGAATCATGGAAGCTCATTGAAATGCACTCTCACACGTCTCTGTGGCACAGCCAGCCAGCCAGCGCAATTGGTGTCAGGTGACCATGGGGCGCCTATATAAGGTTACGCCATCTGGTGGTGTGGAGGTGTAATGCTAGCCTGATCCCAGATCTAGTTGTACTGTATTAATCAACTCCTATACTGATCTTAGACCAGGCTACAGGATGTTATTATTGGTTGACTATTTTACTAGTGTACACAGGTATTAATGTCTTTGGCGGAACAAGCTGTGATTTTTGGAGAGACTCTGTGACCAAGTCAGTGAACTTATATTAAGCAATCTACAGTACAGAATTGCTGGCGTCGCAGCATCTTTGAACAGAACAGAATGTACCTGAAGCTTCTTTAGACAACAGGGGAACACACACGGCCATTTCCTTTTCCATTCACCAACCCAGGTGCAGTGTAAGCGATTTACAGTTTTTTTTTTTTCAATCACTTTGGCACGTTTTTCAGATGTAAGTGGTATATTGTCTAAGCTCTACGTACAAAACTCTAAACTGATAACACACAGTATTTGACTATAACTTGACGTGCACAATTTTAGTTTCATTATCCTTATACAGTACATACGTAGGACAAATAATCAGAAATAGTGGTATTGTAAAGCAGTTGGCTACTGTAAAAACGTAGCACGGTGTTGTATGCCATTTCGGCCCATGCAACATTGTACAAGATCACCTTTTCTATGTGACTTGTCAACTGATACAGTACTGCCTGTCTCTCTGCTAGAAATTCATCAGCTTACAGTGTATAAATGAAATTCAGATAATGAGTGGAATGTTGTTCTATATAACCCCAGGTATTTCAGCAGTGCATTATACACCACTATAATGGTAGCACATAGAGTGACTCTTTCCACTTCGTCCTATTGAAGCACACTGGCTGATGGAGAATGATAATGTAGTATTTACAGCCACATCCATACATGATTTGAAATTGACAGTGTTCAGCAGTTATCAAGCTATATATGTTAACTAGGCACTACATCATGTTGGTTCAGTTTGATTAAGTAATAGTTAATTGTATTGTTAGCAAATTACAAAATCATATCGAAAGTAAAGTGAATATTGCAAATTGAAAGAGTGATTTGGTGCAGTGAACAAGTGAGTGTGAATTGGTTTGGTGCTCAGTCAATGGAAAATGTGCTTGGAGTTTTCACAAACATGAGCCATTTTGATGATCTGTTTTAGATTTTTGTGCTTAGAGTTGTGAAAATATACCACATACTTGTGAAAATTGCACCAAAGGGATTGAAAAAAACTTGGATGACTTGGTATTAATTGCACCGTTGTGAAAGTGGCGTCTGTCAGTGTGTGACAAACAGTCAGTGAATGCAGTGTCCATAAAACCTAAAACATTATTTTTTTCTAAATCACATTGACACATTAGCCTACTGCATTTTTACAACTGTTGTTGTTTTCCTTTAAAGGTGAATTTATGTTACGCCTTTCTGTTATGAGGCGTGACGTTTTATCATTTTATTTAATCTCAGTATACTACACACCGTTGGGTAACTGCCTTTCTTTTATTGAGTTCAGGCAGTTTTACTGAACAGCAATACAGTTGATTCATCCACAACTGAAATATATTTTAGATTTTATTTCAACAGTTAGACTTAAAACTAAAAATAGAATTTGTTGGTTACATCTACTGCTATTTCTTTCATTCTGTCCATCTGCCTTTTCTATGTCTTACATCCTTATGAACTACAGTTATGGTGGGCTTCTCAACTTAAAGCCCATTTTTCTGCCTCCATGTTTGTCGTTTTTGATCGTCTTGACCAAGACTCAGAGATGGTGGTTTTAAGAGACAAATAGATGTTGAATGACAAAGATACAAATGTTAATAAAACTGTATTTTTTTTTGCCTTAGAACATTTTAGATTTCGGAACAGGGCTTTAAAAATGACAGCTTGCTGTATTTAGCGTTACTTTTTAAAATCTCATATATTGTATGTATTATTTTAAGGTACATTTGACTGGAATGCACTTTTTTTTTTTTTTTTTGTATTTTTTACATTTAAGAGCTAATGGAAACATACACACTGATACACAATTGAATTATGTTGATTACCCATTTCTTTGAGACATTATTATAATATTAACAATATACATTAATTCAAAAACACAAATGTATGGTACGTGACCCAAGTTACCACGTTTAGTAATTATTTATGCATGAAAAGAATGGCAAGAATACAACTACACACACACACAAAAGGCAGTGAGTGATATACACAAATTTACCTACTGACAATACTGTAAGATATTTGCATTTTGTTCCTCAAAACTTGTTAAAAATTAAAGTGATGGGATTTACACTTCTTGAACTCGGCCTGTAAGGCTGCTCAACCCCCAAGGCTGATGTTTAACTAGAGGTTGAGTGTCTCACAGGCTACTTTCAAGGCATCTTTGTGCAGATTGCTATGCCGTTCAGAAAAATCACATGATTTCCCATGTGGAACAATTTACATGTGTAGTTTATCACATGTGGCTTTACATGTTGTCACATGTTATCACATTAACGTCACATACGATCACGTGAAAACGTGCGTTTTTGGAACACTTCATGTGATTACGTGAAATTTGTGGTTTTGGAACACTTTACGTGAAATTCATGTGGTTTTGGAACACTTTACGTGAAATTCATGTGGTTTTGGAACACTTTACGTGAAATTCATGTGGTTTTGGAACACTTTACGTGAAATTAATGTGTTTTTTCCATAAGGGTGGTACTGTGATAATGATACCTTTCTGTTGACCTCTCCACTATTGACTTGATACACTATTCTCACATGATGGGAACCATGTTACATATTGTATGTCTGTGTGAGAATGAATGGTACTGTACACTATTGAAATAAAGGGTTCTTGTCTCATGTATGTTGAGTTGAAGCATACTCACCTGGAATCATGACACATCTTTTCTCACTGCCATTAAAAAAACATTAAATGGTGATCATTCTTGAAAGTGGAATAAGGTGTTGAAGGAATGAAATGTAACTTAAATAAATTGTCCCTCCACCAAAGAGTATTATGGATTGAATATGGATTGAATGAATATCATTATGATTTAATTAATTTGTATGGGTAAACCGAGGAAATAATTCCTAGGGTAAATCAAGGGAATATAAACTTTCGTTGATAGGCCTAACATTAACAGACAAGCATAATGTCCTGGTTTGATATGACTTTTATTCTAATTCAAATTGGGACTATTTTACCATACTTGAGAGCATACTTTTTGCAGACATCATTGGTAATACTTCAGAAAACTATATTTAACGTATCATTATCTCTCTGTTACTTGAAGTTGTTTATACATGGTTGAAAACCTCGATATACAGTATATTTGCGTGCATTCATTCATTGGTTTTATAAAGCTTTTGCCTGTGATCCTAGTGAGGCTTTGAGTGGCTTATCTATTTAAGATTTAAATAGACATTCCAAATCTCTAGGCATTGTTGCAAATTGATCACATCACGTTTACAATGGGTTTAACAGATTTTTCAATCAATGTTTTCAACTGACAAGCAAGTATTATTTCATTCATTGTCAAACAAGTTTTTAATAATACATTAACTATAGTATTTAGCTATTTAGTAGGCCTACCTGACTAGTGAGAGAAATGCCTGCTATGTGGGCCTCTGTGAACTCTATTTATAGGCAGTTGATTACTCTTGCCTAGTTTAAATATTCTGCTATTTTTCTCTGTGCTCGACTGGTTGTGCTCGACTGGTTGTACTGAAGCACAATGCAAAGTGAGGTATCGGTTGTAGGTTCATCGACTGATGGATATCATGAATTGGATTTTAAATGTTTATTATTGAGCATATATTCATAGAAAGTAGGCCAGCTGTCGACGCTGGTCATAAACGGAGAATATAACTCCAAGAGGGGTGTGAATCGTATTAGCTTGTTTGTATGTAGTAATAACCGGGTAAATAAGCTAGCTAACGTTAGCCATGGTTCTAATGATGGAATCGCAATGCGAGTATTTTATGTATTTCCCTGCCGTTCCCATCACGGACCTTTCCGACCCGTCAAAATACCGAACTCTCCCCCGTCGCAGTCACCTCTATCTCGGCGAGACGGTGCAGTTTTTGTTGGTCCTGCGGTCCAGAGATGAAAGGTCGGGCTCGGGCGAGACAAAGGGAAGTGGGGATAGTGACAGCGGTACCCGGGCTTGGAAGGAGCTGGTAGGGTCCCTCTCCGCTGTAGCAAGTGTCTGCCCCGGCGAGAGCCGACATCGCTCTCAACTTCACCCCCATGAGTTCCAGAGAAGCTACAGCGACGACGGTGCAGACGAGGACCCCGACGAGGTTGACTTTGCTGTGGGTACATCCCATATAGGCAGGAGGGAGTCCAGGAACCGAGGCTTCAGAGAATGCAAGCCGCTTCTCATTCACAATAACACGGGGATTGATGGGCGGCAGTATCGGCGGGCACCGGTGCAGGTAATATGAAATAATGAATGACAGTCGGGTAATAAGTGGAAGGGTAAGAGGGGTCCGTAAGTGGACTAAGCATGGCCAGTTTATTGTATTTTACAATAGGCTACGTGTACACCTCTTGTGTGCAATAGGAAGTGCTGCCATTCAAATGTAAATGTATTGAGCTGATAAGAAAGTGCAGCTGCTCATGCAGCAGAATCACACATATAAACCACAACCAAAGTCAACCAGACCTTTTTCAACTTCCTGCATGCACTGACTCAACAAGCCAAAATACTGTCTCACTCTGACTAAGACAACTTATTGTGATCTGCAGTACAGGCTGGTGCTAGCTAGTAGTTACTGATGACATACAAGACGCCTCAAGCTTGTGAGCCTCAGCACTGTTACGATTTGTCTGAACTTGACTTTGAGAGAGAGAAGGGCTTGTGGAATATTTGCTCGCCATTCCATGTTATTAAGCTGCTCAGTGCCAGTGCAGACAGACAAAAACAACCCACTCATATTTTCAGAGAAGTCATACCACCTCTCATAACACAGCAGCTCATAGCCAAACAAATGAACCTTGAGGTGTTGGCAATGCTGCAAGATAACACCCACTATGACAGTTAATAGGAAATGTGGGCAAAATAATGGGAATGGATTGTTGTATTTGTGGCAGTCATTCACACTTCCATTTGCCATGTCATTTGTGAAAGATCATATTTGACCATCATACACTGCTGATGTGGGAGAGTGGATAGCAGCAGTGACTCACATCCGTATCGATAATCTATAGTCCAAATAAATCCTTATTCTTTCTCTTTGTGAGAGCCCATTGTTTACATAATCTCTCTCTGTGTGGCACAGACACACATACACATTTGCACACACACACACACATAATATAATTTTTCTGTCTCGTCCTCTCTCTCCTAGTCACCCATGGACAAGCCAGTGGTACTGAACAATGAGGTCATCTTCCCTCTGACCGTCTCATTGGACAAACTCCACGTCAACACACTCAAGGTCAAGGTGAGAGTGTGTGTGTGTGTGTGTGTATGTATGTGTGATCCGATCGTAGTGACTCTATTCATGTTCATAACCTTGCCATAACCTGTGTATTCCTGTCTGTCAGATCGTAGTGACTCTATTCATGTTCATAACCATCGCAATAACCTGTGTATTCCTGTCTATCAATCAATTTTTCAATCAATTTTATTTTATATAGCCCTTCTTACATCAGCTAATATCTCGAAGTGCTGTACAGAAACCCAGCCTAAAACCCCAAACAGCTAGTAATGCAGGTGTAGAAGCACGGTGGCTAGGAAAAACTCCCTAGAAAGGCAAAACCTAGGAAGAAACCTAGAGAGGAACCAGGCTATGAGGGGTGGCCAGTCCTCTTCTGGCTGTGCCGGGTGGAGATTATAACAGAACCATGCCAAGATGTTCAAAAATGTTCATAAGTGACAAGCATGGTCAAATAATAATCAGGAATAAATCTCAGTTGGCTTTTCATAGCCGATCATTAAGAGTTGAAAACAGCAGGTCTGGGACAGGTAGGGGTTCCATAACCGCAGGCAGAACAGTTGAAACTGGAATAGCAGCAAGGCCAGGCGGACTGGGGACAGCAAGGAGTCACCACGGCCGGTAGTCCCGACGTATGGTCCTAGGGCTCAGGTCTCTCAGTTGGCTTTTCATAGCCGATCATTAAGAGTTGAAAACAGCAGGTCTGGGACAGGTAGGGGTTTCGTAGCCGCAGGCAGAACAGTTGAAACTGGAATAGCAGCAAGGCCAGGCGGACTGGGGACAGCAAGGTGTCATCATGCCCGGTAGTCCTGACGTATGGTCCTAGGGCTCAGGTTCTCAGAGAGAAAGAGAGAACGAGAGAATTAGAGAGAGCATACTTAAATTCACACAGGACACTGGATAAGACAGGAGAAGTACTCCAGGTATAACCAACTAACCCCAGCCCCCCGACACATAAACTACTGCAGCATAAATACTGGAGGCTGAGACAGGAGCGGTCCGGAGACACTGTGGCCCCATCCGAAGAAACCCCCGGACAGGGCCAAACAGGAAGGATATAACCCCACCCACTCCGCCAAAGCACAGCCCCCGCACCACTAGAGGGATATCCCCAACCACCAACTTACAATCCTGAGACAAGGCCGAGTATAGCCCACAGAGGTCTCCACCACAGCACAAACCAGGGGGGGGGGCGCCAACCCAGACAGGAAGATCACGTCAGTAACTCAACCCACTCAAGTGACGCACCCCTCCCAGGGACGGCATGAAAGAGCACCAGCAAGCCAGTGACTCAGCCCCTGCAACAGGGTTAGAGGCAGAGAACCCCAGTGGAGAGGGGAACCGGCCTGGCAGAGACAGCAAGGGCTGTTCGTTGCTCCAGCCTTTCCGTTCACCTTCACACTCCTGGGCCAGACTACACTCAATCATATGACCTACTGAAGAGATAAGTCTTCAGTAAAGACTTAAAGGTTGAGACCGAGTCTGCATCTCTCACATGGGTAGGCAGACTGTTCCATAAAAATGGAGATCTATAGGAGAAAGCCCTGCCTCCCGCTGTTTGCTTAGAAATTCTAGGGACAATTAGGAGGCCTGCGTCTTGTGACCGTAGCGTACGTATTGGTATGTACGGCAGGACCAACTCGGAAAGATAGGTAGGAGCAAGCCCATGTAACGCTTTATAGGTTAACAGTAAAACCTTGAAATCAGCCCTTGCCTTAACAGGAAGCCAGTGTAGGGAAGCTAGCACTGGAGTAATATGATCAAATTTCTTGGTTCTAGTCAGGATTCTAGCAGCCGTATTTAGCACTAACTGAAGTTTATTTAGTGCTTTATCCGGGTAGCCGGAAAATAGAGCATTGCAGTAGTCTAACCTAGAAGTAACAAATGCATGGATTAATTTTTCTGCATCATTTTTGGATGTATAACTTGTGTATTCCTGTCTATCTCAGATCGTAGTGACTCTATTCATGTTCATAACCTTGCCATAACTTGTGTATTCCTGTCTATGTCAGATCGTAGTGACTCTATTCATGTTCATAACCTCACCATAACCGGTGTATTCCTGTCTATGTCAGATCGTAGTGACTCTATTCATGTTCATAACCTCGCCATAACTGGTGTATTCCTGTCTATGTCAGATCGTAGTGACTCTATTCATGTTCATAACCTTGCCATAACCTGTGTATTCCTGTCTATGTCAGATCGTAGTGACTCTATTCATGTTCATAACCTCGCCATAACCAGTGTATTCCTGTCTATGTCAGATCGTAGTGACTCTATTCATGTTCATAACCTTGCCATAACCGGTGTATTCATGTCTATGTCAGATCGTAGTGACTCTATTCATGTTCATAACCTCGCCATAAACCTGTGTATTCCTGTCTATGTCAGATCGTAGTGACTCTTCATGTTCATAACCTTGCCATAACCTGTGTATTCCTGTCTATGTCAGATCGTAGTGACTCTATTCATGTTCATAACCTCGCCATAACCGTGTATTCCTGTCTATCTCAGATCGTAGTGACTCTATTCATGTTCATAACCTTGCCATAACTTGTGTATTCCTGTCTATGTCAGATCGTAGTGACTCTATTCATGTTCATAACCTCACCATAACCGGTGTATTCCTGTCTATGTCAGATCGTAGTGACTCTATTCATGTTCATAACCTCGCCATAACTGGTGTATTCCTGTCTATGTCAGATCGTAGTGACTCTATTCATGTTCATAACCTTGCCATAACCTGTGTATTCCTGTCTATGTCAGATCGTAGTGACTCTATTCATGTTCATAACCTCGCCATAACCAGTGTATTCCTGTCTATGTCAGATCGTAGTGACTCTATTCATGTTCATAACCTTGCCATAACCGGTGTATTCATGTCTATGTCAGATCGTAGTGACTCTATTCATGTTCATAACCTCGCCATAACCTGTGTATTCCTGTCTATGTCAGATCGTAGTGACTCTATTCATGTTCATAACCTTGCCATAACCTGTGTATTCCTGTCTATGTCAGATCGTAGTGACTCTATTCATGTTCATAACCTCGCCATAACCGGTGTATTCCTGTCTATCTCAGATCGTAGTGACTCTATTCATGTTCATAACCTTGCCATAACTTGTGTATTCCTGTCTATGTCAGATCGTAGTGACTCTATTCATGTTCATAACCTCACCATAACCGGTGTATTCCTGTCTATGTCAGATCGTAGTGACTCTATTCATGTTCATAACCTCGCCATAACTGGTGTATTCCTGTCTATGTCAGATCGTAGTGACTCTATTCATGTTCATAACCTTGCCATAACCTGTGTATTCCTGTCTATGTCAGATCGTAGTGACTCTATTCATGTTCATAACCTCGCCATAACCAGTGTATTCCTGTCTATGTCAGATCGTAGTGACTCTATTCATGTTCATAACCTTGCTATAACCGGTGTATTCATGTCTATGTCAGATCGTAGTGACTCTATTCATGTTCATAACCTCGCCATAACCTGTGTATTCCTGTCTATGTCAGATCGTAGTGACTCTATTCATGTTCATAACCTTGCCATAACCTGTGTATTCCTGTCTATGTCAGATCGTAGTGACTCTATTCATGTTCATAACCTTGCCATAACCGGTGTATTCATGTCTATTTCAGATCGTAGTGACTCTATTCATGTTCATAACCTCGCCATAACCTGTGTATTCCTGTCTATGTCAGATCGTAGTGACTCTATTCATGTTCATAACCTCGCCATAACCTGTGTATTCCTGTCTATGTCAGATCGTAGTGACGGTGTGGAAGCAGGAGAAGGAGAATGTAGAGATCAGGGAACATGGTTACCTCACCATCCTACAGCTGAGGAGCCCCAGACACACCTTCAGACAGGACCTCAACACCTTCAAGGCCCAGGGTACACACAAACACACACACATGCCTTTGAAATTCAAAAAACATAATACATCATATTCGCATTCAATTAAAGATTGTACAGAATGGTTTTTGACAAATATCTCTCTCTCTCTCTCCTGGTGCCCCTCTCTCCCTCATCTTCCCCCTCTCTGTCCAGTCAGCACCACCCTGAGTGTTCTTCCTCCTCCGACTGTGAAATGTCAACAGATTACCGTCTCTGGGAAGCACCTAACCGTTCTCAAAGGTAGGGAGCTGGGGAGGTCAAACTTTGTTACACTGAAGAACAAACACTATGGACCCTAGTTATAGCCTATAAATGGTAGGGGGTTGTTTGTGGATTTAGAATGGTCTCACACTATTTCTTCTTAACCCTAGACTCATTGGGTGCTTTCTATTCTCAGATTTGTTAAGTCTCACTCTTACCCTATTCTGAAGCAGAGCCAAGAGCTCCTGACTTCTGAACAAAGTAAAGATTGAAACAAGCTTGGCTGGTTTATGGAAGTGCTTAGGCATATAAGTCCACTGAAGTCCATGCTAGTCCTCAGCACAGGGATAAGCTCAATAACAACCCTCTCGTGTGTGTGTAAAATCCTTTTAATTCTTTGGAATTAATCAGAGCCATGTATTTAGAGATTTGGGCCAACTTTAAGAATTTTGAATATTGTTCTAATTCTAGAACTTCAGTTGCATAGCATTATTTATATTCATTTTACATTTTACATATTCCCAATGTAATGTTAATGGGGCGCTAACATGGCTGCCATAGAATGTTGGTGTGTCATGTAAATGCATCATAATGCAGAAACCTCAGTCTATCTAAATACATGGCTCTGGAATGAATCAACCAGGAAGGTTAATCACTTGCTGGTGTCCAGTCTGATCTGGTGGCAGTACTGTAGCTGCTTTGGTAATGCCCTAGTGGAGGAGTGCCAAATGAAGGTTCATGGTTGGTCCTGTGTGGCTCAATTGGTAGAGCATTGCACCTGCAATGCTAAGGTTGTGGATTTCGATTCCCGCTTAGGCCACCCATATGGGAAAATTATGCACTCACTGTTGTAAGACGCTTTTGAAAAAAGTGTTTGATAAATGCCATATTTGTTATGTTCTATCCTGTTTGAAAGCAAAGTGCTCAAGCTAGTGGTTATGTTAACACAGTCTTGGTTTATTAACAGCAACAGAGAGCAAAATATGACAAATCAAGTACTTTAGCCTCGCTGCCACTGTGTTACTACATTGTTATGCAATAGCTCATAAGTGTAATGGCTCATACATGATGCTCATACGTGATGTGTGTGCTAATGACTAAAATGTAAAATGTAAGAGTAAGAGCACCCTCTGAAATTACCCTGTATTGTCTTAAAGGGATAGTGCGACATTTTGACAAATACAGTGCCTTCAGAAAGTAGACCTATTCATACCCCTTGACTTATTCCACATTTTGTTGTGTTACAGCTTGAATTCAAAATTGATTAAATATGTTTTTTCTCACCCATCTACACACAATACCCCATAATGACAAAGTGAAAACAAGTATTTTTTATACATTTTTGTAAATGTATTGAAAATAAAATACAGAAATATCTCATTTACATAAACATTCACACCCCTGAGTAAATACATTTTGAAGCACCTTCTGGCAGCGATTACAGCTTTGAGTCTTTTTGGTTAAGTCTCTAAAAGCTTTCCACACCTGGATTGTGCAATATTTGCCCATTTATTATTTTCATAATGTGTTGTTTATCATTGCTTGACAACCATTTTGCCTGTGCTTAGCTCCATTCTGTTTTTTTTTTATCTTGAGAAACTCACCAGTCCTTAATGATTACAAACATACCCATAACATGATGCAGCCACCACCATGCTTGAAAATATGGAGAGTGGTACTCAGTAATGTGTTTTACTGGATTTGCCCCAAACATTACACTTTGTATTCAGGACAAAAAGTGAATTGCTTTGCCTCTTTATTTGCAGTATTACTTTAGTGCCTAGTTGCAAACAGGATGCATGTTTTGGAATATTTGTATTCTGTACAGGCTTCCTTCTTTTCATAATATTAACCTATTTGACAGACTGAAAAGAAGGAAGCCTGTACAGAATACAAATATTCCAAAACATGCATCCTGTTTGCAACTAGGCACTAAAGTAATACTGCAAATAAAGAGGCAAAGCAATGTTGTTGATCCATCCTCAGTTTTCTTCTATCACAGCCATTCAACTAGTTTTAAAGTCACAATTGGCCTCATGGTGAAATCCCTGAGCGGTTTCCTTCCCCTCTGGCAACTAAGTTAGGAAGGACGCCTGTATCGTTGTAGTGACTGGGTGTATTGATACACCATCCAAAGTGTAATTACTAACTTCACCATGCTCAAAGGGATATTCAATGTCTGCTTTTTGTTTTTACCCATCTACCAATAGGTGACCTTCTTTGCGAGGCATTGGAAAACCTCCCTGGTCTTTGTGGTTAAAACTGTGTTTGAAATTCACTGCAGATAATTATATGTGTGGGTACAGTGATGAGGTATTCATTCAAAAATCATGTTAAACACTATTATTGCACACAGACTGAGTCCATGCAATTTATGTGACTTGTTAAGCACATTTTTTCCCCCCTGAACTTATCTAAGCTTGCCATAACAAAGGGGTTGAATACTTATTGACTCAAGACATTTCATATTTTCATTCTTAATTAATTTGTACACATTTAGAAAAACATAATTCCACTTTGACGTCATGGGGTATTGTGTGTAGTCCAGTGACCATTTTTTTTTTTAATTTAATCAATTTAAAATTCAGGCTGTAACACAACAAAATGTGGAAAAAGCCAAGGGGTGTGAATACTTTCTGAAGGCATTGTAAGCCCTTTTTCCCACTTACACAGAGTCAGATTAACTCATGCATACCATTTTTATGTCTCTATAAATACATACACAAACCCCACTAACAACATCCACATCCCATTAAAGGAATAGTGCGACATTTTGGCATCTGAGTGCAGTTTGAAGGAAGTTGAAGGTAGTATGCTAGCAGTTCCTGTAGACTTTCAGTCATTGCACTAACTCTAGTTAGCTGTGGCTCCAGAAACAACCTTCACCTTCCTTCAAACTGCACGCAGAGAAACTGCACTCAGTTACCAAAATGTCGCACTCTTCCTTTAATGAGGTGGGGTTTGTGTATGTATATAAATATTGTCCTATGGTAGTGATTCCATTGGTTTAGGAGACAATACTACCATGACATCACTTAAACTTCTCATTCTCTCTGTTTTCCTGTTCCTGTCTCTCTTTTTTATATCTCCCACCTCTCCCTCCCCCTCCCCCCCCCTTCCACCTTCCTGTCCCCCAGTATTAAACTCCAGTTCCCAGGATGAGGTGTGTGTTAGCAATGTGAGGGTTGTTCCTAACTTCAACGCGTCCTATCTCCCCATGATGCCTGATGGCTCTGTCCTCCTAGTGGACAATGTCTGGTAATTACAGATTAGGATTTTGGGACCCCCAATCCCAACCTTAACCATTTAGAATGTAATGCTAAACTGGCCTTCGTCAGTGTCTGGTAAACAAGTGTTTGAAAGATGTAATGTCTGTCTAAATATTGTCAGTTTCTTAAACTGCTGTTAAATAAAATGAGCTTGATCAGAATGTAAAAAGTACCACTTTTTGTAACCATGCCAACAACATCCTGTACTGCCTGTCTGCAGCCACCAATCAGCAGAGGTTGCCATGGGGTCGTTCCACAGAATGAACAGTAGCTCCTCCCACCTTCCCAGCATGCTCTCTGCCCTGGAAGAGCAGAACTTCCTGTTTCAGCTGCAGCTCAGAGACCTGCCAGAGGAAGAGTCCAGCGAGGTGAGAGTGGGGGATGAGTCTCAATTGGGCATAAGTCTGACCTCTCCTTGAATCCTTCCCTGAAACCGATAAGTGGTCAATGCTTGTGGAGAGTGTCAATTCATTATTAGGCGAATGGAGGATTATGCTCACCTCCTTGATTACCAAATTCGGCAGAGGATCCACAAGAGTATCCTCAAGGAGGCTTAGTGCAGAAGTGTTTAAACATTGGACACTCCCCCTTTGAATCAGCTGTTGTTTTCTCAAATGAGAAAAGCATGCACACATTTAAAAACTAAACGCTACTTATCCTTTTATCTAGAAAATGTCTTGCACAACTAGCTACATTTTGTTTTTAATCGCTTTACACATTTATTTTGGGGTTCCACCCCTGTAAACGTCATTTGCCTGATGACGCGCGAGTGAGGGAATGGCGGCAGGGATGTAGTCAGTGAAGAGCAGCGTTGCAAGCCAGGTGAGTCGATTCCGGGGCAGTAAAAAAAAAAAAAAATTATCACTAATGTAAGTCCTCTGGTAAGGTCTGCTAAATGATAAAAGAATGAATGATTGGGGTTACCGTAAACGCATGCTGATGACCGAGTGCAGAGTCTTCATAAGGTATTGTTCCCCGTTTCTTTCAAAGCAGCGAGGAGATGTTCACGAAACATTAGGAGGAGGAGGGGAGGAGGTGGGAGCGATGAAGAAAGAAGAATGGTAATTCAATCATAGTCCTTACAAGGGAGGAGGAGTGTTAGTGAGTAATCCCGCCATATATATAAGCGGAGTACCACTTTGCCACGATTAGCATCAAGTTTTGGAGATCGGAGACAAAGTCCCCATGTCGTTGCCTACTCGGGACACACGGCCGTCACGGACGCTCGTTTAATGTGAGCGGGTCAGAGACGCAATCTGAGGGCTACCGATCTCGTCTCTGAGCAGTCCCAGATGTCCCAATAATTTCAAACAGGTTTGATTTTATCAGCACAAAATCTGCAATGCTCTTGTAGTGTGAGATGTGCAACGACAGGTTTTGAGAACGGTGATCAGCAATAGCCAATGAGAGCTCGCCAGAGAAGAAACCAGTGAGATGATGACGTTGTTTCGCTTCATCCAGAATGTGTAGACTAGAGCAGGAGCGATGATTACTACTAGTATGCGTTCGTACTTGCCTTTAACCAAAGTCAAAGTGTCATCGTTACATCTTTGACGTTCACAAGCGATGTTATTCAATTCAAAATGTTGGCTATATATTTAAACTCTGTATGGCAAGCGTGAATGTCTGACTGAAAACGTTTATGAGGCTGCTTTGAGCCACAACTCGTAGCTAAGTTAAATCTAATCACATCATTGTTTTAGCGAGACAGCACGGTACGGAGAATCCTCACGACCAAGTGAAGAATCGTCTAGTGTGTGACCCCCGTCTGTGCCACTACGTTGGCAAGATGACAAAAATCGACAGGAAAGATCGCAGTTTAATGTGAGAGGCTCAGCGATTTAAGGATTTTAAAAGTTGTGTAGTGTACACCCGGCATTAGCGTGAGATCATCTCAACTGTCTTAGATTAAACATATGCATGATAGATATGCCAACAATGTCCTTATGTCTACAGCATGCTATCATGTGAGGAATGTGTTTTTATTTCTACTTTAGGGTCTGGAGGTTCCATTGGTAGCTGTGCTGCACTGGTCTACCTCTAAGCTTCCCTTTACCAGGTAGGCCTACATCTACTGATATATAGAACTACCTCATAATCAATAGAACTACCCCACATAATCACTAGAACTACCTCATAATTAATAGAACTACCCAACATAATCACTAGAACTACCTCATAATCACTAGAACTACCTCATAATCACTAGAACTACCTCATAATCACTAGAACTACCTCATAATCACTAGAACTACCCCACACACTCACTATACCTGTTCCATTATAACTACAAGCCTTCCCTTCACCAGATACATGTGCACCCAGTATTAGTTGGAACTATCCCATAATAACTACTCTCCATTAACTACTTAACTGTCCAAATATACCTACCTCATTACTACCTTATTTTAACTACTTCATTTCCCATCCCCAGGTACATTTCGACTCACTACCAGCTGCCCAGCGTGAGACTGGACCGCCCCCGTTTGGTGATGACAGCTTCCTGTCCGAGTGCCGTGAGGCCGCAGGAGCACTTCCGGGTCAAATACACCCTCCTCAACAACCTGCAGGACTTCCTGGCTGTACGCCTGGTCTGGACACCCGAAGGTGAGAGGAGAGGGAGGGAGAGGAGATGTAATAATTATGGAGGGGGATGGTGGACAGATGAGGAAGAGAGATGGAGAATTTTCAGGGTGGAAAGAGTGTGATCGAGCAAGAGAGAGTGGAAGAGGGATAGAAAGAGACAGAGGGAAGATGGGAGGGAAGTGAGCGAAAAAGAATGGAGAGATAAAAGGAGAGGGGGAGGGAGGGAGAGGGAGAGGGGGAGAGAGAGAGAGAAGTGAGGGGGAGAGAGAGGAGGGAGGGGGGAGAGAGAGAGGGAGGGGGGGGGAGAGAGAGGGGAGGGGGAGAGGGAGAGGGAGAGAGAGAGGAGGGAGGGGGAGAGGGGGAGAGAGAGGAGGGGGGAGGAGAGAGGGGAGAGAGCGGGAGGGGAGAGGAGGAGGGGGGAGAGGAGAGGGAGGGGGGGAGAGAGAGAGGGGGGAGAGAGAGAGAGAGAGGGAGGGGGAGAGAGAGGAGAGAGGAGAGGGAGGGGGGAGAGAGAGAGGGAGGGGGAGGGAGGGAGAGAGAGAGAGGGAGGGGGGGAGAGAGAGGAGAGAGAGGGAGGGGGGAGAGAGGGAGGGGGAGAGGAGGAGAGAGAGGGGGGGGGGGGAGAGGGGAGAGAGGGAGAGAGAGAGGGAGGGGGAGGGGAGAGGGGAGAGGGAGGGGAGGGAGGGGGAGAGAGGGGGAGGGGGGAGAAGAGGGGATGGGGGAGAGGAGGGGGGAGAGAGGGATGGGGGAGCGGGAGGGAGGGGGGGAGGGAAGGAGGGCGGGGGAGAGAGAGGGAGGGAGGGCGGGGGAGAGAGAGGGAGGGAGGGAGGGCGGGGGAGGGCGGGGGAGAGAGGGGGGGGGGGGGAGAGGGAGGGAGGGCGGGGGAGAGAGAGGGAGGAGGGGGGGAAATAATCACTTTAGGTTATATTATATTGCTCTCTCCTTGGGTAAACTAAACACCACCTCTCTCCCTTCCTCCATTCTCACCCCCTTCCTCCCCCCAGGTCGTGGTCGTCAGGACCCGTCAGTGAGTTCTGTGGTGTGTCACTCCCCCCTCAACAACTTGGGACAGTGTCGGAAAGGATCCACCCTCTCCTTCACAGTCGCCTTCCAGATACTCAAGGCAGGACTCTTTGAGGTACCAGTACACACACAGAGAGAGAGAGGGTCTGTGTGTCTTGTGTTTCTCCGATTTGGCATACCAAACATTACTCACTCACACACCCTCCTCTTCCTCTCCAGTTAAGCCAGCACATGAAGCTGAAGCTCCAGTTCACTGCGTCCTGTTCCAACCCTTCAGCTGAGGCCAGACCCATGTCTCTGTCCCTGTCCCGTAACAACTCTGCTGTTAGAGACGTGTTGGACAGACAGAGTCTGGGACGGTCACAGAGCTTCTCCCACCAACAACCCTCACGGTCACATCTTATGAGGTAGGAGACACAGTCACCAGTGAAAGTCTACACACCCCTTGCACGGTGTTCACATTTTTGCGGCCTTAAAATTCAATCTAAAAAGGAAAATCATTTGATTTTTTTACCCTACTGATCTACACAATCTACTCCACAAATTCTTAACAATTATAGAACGTTTTCCAAATTAATAAAACATAAAAAACAAAAAAAGGTATCTTGATTGTGTATGGATATAATTTCTCATTCACTTTGAGAATGTACAGCAGGTTGTGTAGATCGGGAGGAAAAACATCAAATGTATTCCCTTTTTAGATTTCATTTTAAGGCAGAACACACGTAGACACACACACACATTAGCATTCAATCAAACACACACACACACACATTAGCATTCAATCAAACACACACACACACATTAGCATTCAATCAAACACACACACACATTAGCATTCAATCAAACACACACACACACACATTAGCATTCAATCAAACACACACACACACATTAGCATTCAATCAAACACACACACACAAACATTAGCATTCAATCAAACACACACACACACATTAGCATTCAATCAAACACACACACACACATTAGCATTCAATCAAACACACACACACACATTAGCATTCAATCAAACACACACACACACACATTAGCATTCAATCAAACACACACACACACACCCAACCACACTAATCCCCAAGTTCTGGCAGTGACTCTCTGACCCTCTGACCTCTCTGGCCCTCTGACCTCTCTGACTCTCTGACCTCTCTGACCCTCTGACCTCTCTGACCTCTCGGACTCTCTGACCTCTCTCCTAATCATCCCCATCTTGTGTGTGTGTGTTTGTCCGTCTGTTGTGTTTGTCTGTATCTGTCCATGTGTGTGTCTGTTCCAGGACGGGCAGTGTTATGGAGCGCCGGGCCATCACTCCTCCAGTGGGATCACCAGTGGGTCGACCCCTCTACCTTCCGCCCGAACGCCCCGTCCTCTCACTGGACAAGATCGCCAAGAGAGAGTGTAAGGTACTGGTGCTGGACCTTGGAAGAGACTGGGAGAGCGAGGGAGGGAGGGTTGGAGGAACGAGGTAGAGAGGAAATAAGAGATTTGGAGAGGGAGGGAGGGAGGACATTTCTCATTGAGCATTTCATCCAACCTGAAACAAAACGCAAAAACTGTTTTACACAAAAAGACAGACCACAGTCACCACACTGAATGACTTACTCTACATGATCCACATCATTTCAAGACACGAAGAAGTTACTTTCAACATGACTTTATCTCAAAATCATTCGTTTTTTTTTTTTTTTTTACTATAATTTCAACATTCCATTTTATTCCTTGTTTTATGTCTTGTTGTGTAATTAAATATGTAAATAACTGTTTTACATAAAACGAGCTAGATCTGCAATAATATTTGGGCTGCCATTTACCGTAAAATTCACAGGGTTTGGTTAATGAATAAACTGTTAATACACAGTCTAACTAACACTGTTAGTGTTCTCTAACACTGTTCTGTATGTGACGTGTTTGATGTAAAACTTTGGATGTTAAAGCTAGAGTCCTTAAGTAAAACAATAACAAAGCAGCCACCCCACCTCTGTTTTTGTAAAAAGCTTAGGGATAGGCCTGGAGAAATGTAAGCACTGTCATAGACAGTGCTATGGATGCAACGACTGACCATCCATGGTATCAAAATTATAATTTGAGCAATGTTTTGAGGCTGTACAGTGTTTGTTTACATTTACATTGTTTGCAAACATTGGAGTAAAACAAGCTTATTTTGGGGGTTCTGATCAGTTGCAACAGTTGAACTAAGCTCATGAGGCATTTATAAATGATATTCTTAAAGAATCAATGGGTACATATAATACATTTATAAGTTTAAAAAAAAAAAATAGATGTAGCAACTAAGGATTCTAGCTTTAACAAAGGAACCAGGAGAACCCAGGGAAAGGGCTGAGTTCTGTTTCATTGTGGATTTTTTTTACAGTTTCACTCTTGTTACAATGCGTTGTAGTTTAGTGACTAAGGGCCACAGTCTCTACACTGGATTTAAAACGTTTAATATTTTGTCTTTACACTGGCTGTCAGAGATGTTTTAATTTATGCTAAATGTATTTGTCTGGTTTTAATTCTTTACATGTTATTTTGTCAGCGTTTTGCTGCTGCTTAAAAATCTGAAATGTTCTCATCTTCTTAGTACACTCCATATAAGTACACACTCCATGAAAGGGAACAATCCTGCATCCTTTCCAATCATTTGTCTTTCCCTTGTGTCCCTGTTCTACAACCTACAGCCTAATGGATTTAACAATGGTGGAACCTCTCTCCAATCCAATACTGTTACATCCAAGCCGGGAAAGTGTGCAAGTGCACATTTCGGGAGAAGGGTGGAGAATTGGGACGTAGCCTTACACTGTGGTTCACAACTGTTAAAGCTTGTATTACACTGGTTGAGCCTGTTGATCATTGTGGTCATTTACACTTGACCTTATTATTAGGGATTTAGTCCTCTTGGGTAACAATCCAGAGTAGTGCATTATTTAAAGTCAGTCCCTGTAGCTGTTTTCAACTGTTTCCATTTGTGTTAGGAACAATGAACGATGATGGTGGTGTGTGTTGTATGCTTCTGAATGAGCCTAAAACACTGGATGTATTTTTGTATTTTCATTTTATTTCCTGGTTCATAAACCAATGGGAATTGACAACGGGTCTGTATCCCTGATGTAAATGACAATGTGATATTTGGTGGGGACATTTCAAACAATCTGACAGAATGTCACTGTGTCTACTGAGGGGCTCAGGAAAAGACCCAGATGCAGACAGTTTGAATAACGGACGTTTATTATATAAACGGGGCAAGCAAAGGACAGGTCAAGGGCAGGCAGAGGTCGGTAGTCCAGGGCAGAGTCCGTAAGGTACAGAGCGGCAGGCAGGCTCAGGGTCAGGGCAGGCAGAATGGTCAAAACCGTGAAAACTAGAAAACAGGACTCAAGAAAACAGGAGTACGATAAACACGCTGGTATGCTTGACAAGACGAACTGGCAACAGACAGACAGAAAACACAGGGATAAATACACTGGGGAAGATGGGCGACACCTGGAGGGGGGTGGAGACAAGCACAAAGACAGGTGAAACAGATCAGGGTGTGACAGGTATGCCTTATTTTCCCTGGACGCAAACTACTTTCTTGTGTATCCTTTGTTTAATTTAGAAAGATTGTATTAATTCTGCTTTACCCTATCATTTCTATATCTTGTCAAGAAGGACACAAGAGACTTGAGTAGAGGATGTAGTCTGCTATTATCGTGTTTTTTTATTGTTTGTTTTATTTCCAATGAAAAAACACATTGCATTGTTGGAAAAGGACCCGTAAGTAAGCATTTCACTGTTAGTCTACACCTGTTGTTTACGAAACATGTGACATACATTTTATTTTTATTCAAGGCTTTGTTTAAGGCTAGTGGTAGATCATTAGTAAAGAATAGAGAACAGTAAAGGACCAAGACAGCTGACTTGCGGAATACCACACTTCCATTAAAGAAGACCCTCTGTGTTCTAATGGATAGATAGCTCTCAACACATAGTAGAGTAGAGGATGTAGCCTTTGCTGTTATCTTGTTTATTATGATTTATTTTGTTTGTTTTTATTCCCGCTAGCCTGGATTTTACCTTGAAAAACAGCCCCATTCCATCTCCATTTCCATTGTTCCCATTATCAGAGTGACATAAAGTTTCCATTTCCATTCCTTTCCTTTGTGATTTGAAATTAATTTATTATTACCACTCAGACCAAAGTTGCTCACAATTACAGTGTTTATGTATATTTTGGACTTATTTTTAACAGTCCTATTTGTTTAAGCACTTTTATTTGCTTTGAATTGTATTGTTTATGGTTCCTCGGACACACAAACACAAGGAATGCCTTGAATGCAAACATCTGTTGATGAAAAGTGTTTTGAATTTGCAACAAACATGTTGAAAAAAAGTGTTTTTGGTCACTCCTAGTTCGTTGCACTGGCTGTAATAAATAAATTACACTTTAGGCATTTTATATTTACACTTTCACCTGGATCATGGATCATTCATGACACATCTCATATCTCACACACTCTCAAATTAACAACAACAAAAGCATGAATAAGTTAACTCCTACAGTCTGGGTTGTACCATTGGATTAATCTATTTCTTCTGCATCCATTGATACCAACAATCAGTTGGTGTGATTAGCTAGAGCAGTGTTTGTGAGACAACGGCGGATCCCGAAGGGGCCCGGGCCGGGTCTTTTTACAAAAACGTATGTAGGGTCAGAATGGTTTGAACTACAAACTATTAAAAGCCATGTCCAAAAAGCTGAGAAAACTGAGGCTCAACATGCACATTTTGCTCTTATGACGCTGTTACGACCTGGCTCATAGTTCGTAACAACAAAGGAGACCACGCATTACTTAAATGTAAAAAGGAATGCATTTATTAAACGAAATGATAAATACAAAAATGTAACATAAGCTGTGGACGTCTGTAGGATCAGTAGTGAATGCAGTGTGTGGATGAGTGGAGAGGGTGTTGCATGGTGAAAACAAACCCAAAACCCAAAAGGTGGTGGAAGCCAGCCTGCCAGGTCAAGGAAGACTGATGTGGCCACCTTTTATAGCCTGCAGGCCAAGCCTGCCCAGGTGCTCCACATCAGTTGACGAATCCTCCCAGCTCTGCCCACTGGCCTCCTGCAACAAGCAGACTACCAAACAGGAGATCCCAGCCGACCGAGTGGGAGGGACGTCACAACGCTCACAAGCTACAAGTTGTTAGAAGGTAAGGGGTTCTGCTACGTAGAATATTTTAGGAAATCCCAGGACGTAGGGTCTATAATACTGTAATAACCTCACATATACTGAACAAAAATATAAAAGCATAATGTAAAGTGTTGGTCCCATGTTTCATGAGCTGAAATAAAATATCCCTGAAATGTTTCATACGCACAAAACATTTATTTCTCTCAAATTTGTTTACCTCCCTGTTAGTGACCATTTCTCCTTTGCCAAGATAATCCATCCACCTGACAGGTGTGGCATATCAAGAAGCTGATTAAACAGCATGATCTTTACACAGGTGCACCTTGTGTTGGGGACAATACAATGCCACTGTAAAATGTGCAGTTTTGTCACACAACACAATGCCACAGATGTGTCAAGTTTTGAGGGAGCATGCACTTTGCATGCTGACTGCAGGAATGTCCACCAGAGCGTTGCCAGAGAATTGAATGTTTATTTCTCTACCACAAGCCACCTCCAACATCGTTTTAGAGAATTTAGCAGTACATCCAACCGGCCTCACAACCGCAGACCACGTGTATGGCGTCGTGTTGGCGAGTGGTTTGCTGATGTCAACGTTGTAAACAGGTTATGGTATGGGCAGGCATACGCTACGGACAACCAACACAATTGCATTTTATCGATGGCAGTTTGAATGCACAGAGATACCGTGACGAGATTCTGAGGCCCATTGTCGTGTCTTTCATCCGCCGCCATCACCTCATGTCTCAGCATGATAATGCACGGCCCCATGTCGCAAGGATCTGTACACAATTCCTGGAAGCTGAAAATGTCCCAGTTCTTCCAATGGCCTGCATACTCACCAGACATGTCACCCATTGAGCATGTTTGGGATGCTCTGGAAGCTGTAAACACACATCCATACATGAAAACACAGGCATTTTATTGTCCCCAGCACAAGGTGCACCTGTGTAATGATCATGCGGTTTAATCAGCTTCTTGATATGCCACACCTGTCAGGTGGATGGATTATCTTGGCAAAGGAGAAATGCTCACTAAACAAATTTGTGCACAGAATTTGAGAGAAATTAGCTTTTTGTGTGTATGGAACATTTCTGGGATCTTTAATTTCAGCTCATGAAACATGGGGCAACACAACCCTTTACATGTTGTGTTTATATTTTTGTTCAGTGTAGTTAGATGTATTATCATACAGTAACATTATAATAGTTGGGTCCAGTCGTATGTACCTGGTTGAAGTATTCTCCAGGGATGGTGATCTCCAGGTGGTGGACTCCATCAAACTTGAC